GGCCGCGATTGCCAGGGCAAATTAATCATTAATCATTAAACACGCTTGTTTTTAAACCATGTGTAATTTTTGCAAAGGTACACTCACCAGAGGTCCCCTGTGTGCCCTCAGGGTCTTGGGTCAGTTCGGGGGTTACTGTTTCCAGGTCCAGGGTGACAAACATATCCTGGCTGTTGGGGTAACTGGTTTCTCCGCTTCCTTGCTGCTGTGAGCTATCTATGTTCTCTCCATCCTCATCTTCCTCGTCCGCCGAACCCGCTTCCCCGTTTGCAGAGAGGGACTCATAGAACACGCTTGGGCTAGTGGTGGCTGCACGCCCTAGAATGGCATGCAGCTCCGCGTAGTAGCGGCATGTTTGCGGCTCTGCCCCGGACCTTCCGTTTGCGTCTCTGACTTTGTGGTAGGCTTGCCTTAGCTCCTTAATTTTCACGCGGCACTGCCGCGCGTCCCTGTTATGGCCTCTGTCCTTCATGGCCTTGGAGATCTTTTCTAATGTTTTGCCGTTTCTTTTACTGTTTCGGAGTTCGGCGAGCACTGCTTCATCTCCCCAGATGGCGATCAGATCCTGTACCTCCCGTTCGGTCCAGGCTGGAGCTCTTCTGCGATCCTGGGACTGGGACTGGGACTCCATCATGGTTACCTGTGCTGATGGGCTCTGCATGGTCACCTGTGCTCTCCACGCTGAGCAAACAGGAAATGAAATTCAAACGTTCGCGGGGCTTTTCCTGTCTACCTGGCCAGTGCATCTGAGATGAGAGTGCTGTCCAGAGCGGTCACAATGAAGCACTGTGGGATAGCTCCCGGAGGCCAGTAATGTCGAATTCCGTCCACACTAACCCAATTCCGACCCCCTAAGGCCGATTTTATCGCTAATCCCCTTGTCGAGGTGGTGTTAGGAAACCGGTTTAAAGGGCCCTTTAAGTCGACAGAAAGGGCTTCGTAGTGTAAACGTGTCCAGGCTTAAGTCGATTTAACGCGGCTAAAGTCGACCTAAACTCGTAGTGTAGACCAGGCCTTAGGCTTTGTCTACACTGGCAACTGAACAACAAAAGTTTTGTCCTTCAGAGGTGTTAAAAAAAACACACACACTCCGAAAGACAAAAGTTTTGTTGACGAAAAGCGCCCGTGTGAACAGCGCTTTGTCGGCAGGAGCGCTCTCCTGCCGACAAAGCAACAGCTGCTCGTTGGGGATGGAAGTTTTTTGTCGGTGGGAGAGCTCTCTCCTGCCAACAAACAGCGGCTACACTGGGCACCTTTTAGCGGCCTGGCTGTAGAAGCACAGCTGTGTCACTAAAAGATGCGTAGTGTAGACAAAGCCTTAGCTTCTGCATTATGCAAAGGATTGCCCAGTCCTATTCCCTGTCTCCCTTCTCTTCTCCCCATGCCGCTGCCAAAATGGGGGAAGTTTCCCTTTTCAGATGGAAAGTGTTCGGAAACCAAAATGTATCTGAAAGAATGACATTGGTTTGAAGTACAACAGTGGCTTAAAAATGACGGCAACAGTGTAGAGTGGCAGGTCTCATTGCTGAACCTGTTCTCACAATCTGGAGGAGATTGGTGACCTTCTGGGCATGGCCTAAGGCTCTTTAAACAAGTGTGACTTAATTACCATTAGACAAAAGCGAGAGGCTTATACACGGCACAAAATGGGTCAGTGATTTTATTAAGTCATCCTTTAAGATGACAGATATTTGTTTTTAATTTTCCATAAGGTTTACATATGCTATGGCAACATCTGCTGTAGAAATATTCACATAAGTAACTAACACTTTGTTGTGTTAGGATAAGGATTGAATTCAAAAGCCCTAAACAAGAGTTTGAGGTGTCAGAATTGCTACTGCAGCTGCCTCTTTGATAACGGAAAACTTAGATCTCAAAAATAGCTTTGGAAATTCAAAAGGTGTCTTTGTTCCTAATGTGCCTTTGTCCTTCAGTATTTCCTGACATGACCAAAACGGTTACTGATACAAATGCATTTTAACTGCCTATTTTATGTGTCTAAAAGAGAGTTGGATGATCGTGTCGCTAAAGCACAGGATTGGGACTTGGGGGTTCTATTCCCATCTTGCCACTGGATTTCCCTATGTTACTCTGTGTCACCTGTCTGTGACACAATTTCCCCACTATAAAAGAGGGATAATTTCTCACAGTGGTGTTTTGAGATGGAGCTCAGAAACAGAGTGGGTTGAGAAGTGGTAAGGATTTTTTGTGTAAACAAAAAGCTTGACCAGTTCTGTTCACAGGTTGTATGTTTTTAGAGCCTCAGAATGAAGGCGTTGTAGAAGTGCACAACATTCATATTCACACTCAGATTTTGCATTACTTCATGTTCTGATTTTTTGTAGTTAGATTTTTTAAAAAAACTGAATGATTTCTATTGAGAGAATGTCTCCTAATGTCCCAAGTTTGAGATTTCAATCACCACAGGTAATTGATTGAATGTGTGATTTTAGGGAATTTCAAAAATCAAGACCCAAAAATCACCACTTGGACAGGAGTCAGGATGGCTCAGTGACTGACCGATTGCGATTGGGTTGGATTCTCACTCCAGGCCTTCTGTTCCCTGAATCAGCAGGGACTGAGAATGATGCAGAAGCAGCTATTCAGTTGCTGGGCAGAAGGGATTTCTTAACGCTAATTAAAAAACAGTCTTGATGTGTTCCACCGACAACCCCTAACCAGGCCTTCTCTGCTAAAAAGACAGCGGAGGCAATGTGCTGAAGAAATTGGGCGACTTCATAAAAACTACCCCCTCCCCAGTACACTCAAACCCCCAGCCTCACAAAAGATTACATTGGGTAAAAGTTTATTTGGGTGAAGAGTATAAAGCAGTGACTGGTGTATCTGTCCCCTCTTGGAGATGGAATTTTAGCTAGCAAGATTATCATTTGTGGTCAGTGTGTTATTTCTAACTAAAATGACACTTCATAAAAATAACAAATTGCTGGGAACTAATGGTCTTTGAATTCTATTTCTAGTGCTGATCTCTATTTCTGTTCTTCTTGGTTGCTTTTCTTCTAACAAATCAAACTTCAGGATTGAAGCAGGAAATTTAGATTTAACCTCAAGAGTTGGTGTTTTGTCTCATGTCTGCTCTAATGTGGGGCAGATGGTAAGACTGCTGTACGTAACTCAAGGTTTTATTGACCCAGCCCTCCATGCTTAATAGAAAACATAGCTATCCGCAATGCACGCTAAGCAGACAATTCTGAGAGCAGGAAGCTTGAGAATGTATATAAATATATTTACAAAATACTTGGGATGTTTCTTCAAAGTGCAAGTCCTCCAGCTGTTTGATAGAGAGGACGGATGTTTTTTGTAAGGGTAAGGAAGGAGAGGCAGATGAGGGCTAACCCCCCAAAAAACCCACCACCCCCAAAAAATTACAATCTGAACTGTTCTTTTCTTTTTTCTCCTTTTAGAAGATGGTTGAAGTTTGGTATTTATTAAAGAACATATAGGCTATATTGACTAGTCTCCATGCAGCTAGTGCAGTATTCCTTAATACAACTTTATCCTGACTCCAGTGTCCCTACTATTCTAGTTTTCCTTTATTGAGTTGCCAATCATCCCAAATTGTGCCAGAGACTTTGGTAGTTCTACAATGGGGACAAATGACTGACTGGTGAAAGCCAAAATCTCATGAGGAGACAAGAAACCCTGCTGTGCTATGTTAACCCCAATATATACTACAAATAGAGGATCCTGCATCCTGAATTTCCTTGTTTTTACAAAAATTGTTACAAAATGCTAATATTGTGAAACCAGTTGAGTACTTTTTTATAATTAAGATTTTAGGAAGTTTAAACTTACAAACTCAAAGTTTATATCACCAGAGGGTGCAGTTCTACCTCGTAACAAACTATTGGTCTTTCACAATTTTAAAACACAGACATTATGACAATTATCCAGCCATATAATAATGAAACTGAGGCAGAGCCATCCTATGGGGACTTCAAGCAACAAATAAACCAGCTGGAAAACACTTGATAGGTAGTCAGAAAGGAAAATACTACATAGACAAACACAAAGGAAAAATGTATGCCACCGAAGATCACAGGAGTACCGCATATATCCACTGCCCATCATGCTGACCAGTATTGTCTGTTTCCTTGTACACCCTGATCTGTCTATTTCCATCTGTTGTCTCATACTTAGGTTGTAAACTTTTTGCACAGGGACAGTCTTTTTCTTCTGTGTTTGTACAACACCTAGCACCGTGGGGTACTGATCAATGGCTAGGGCTCCTAGGTGCTATGATAATACAAATAAACACAGATAGCTGCTGGCATAGTTTATACAAGGGAATCCCCATTCCTTTGCCAGTTACCTCAGACTCAAAGAAGAAGAAAAGATTTTTTTTAAAAGCCACCGCTGTGTTTTTAAAGTGAATATCAAAATGACAATCAGTCAAATGATTTTCACAGTAGTGAAAATAAATCATTGTAACAATGGAATATAAAATTATATTATAAATAGTATCTTTGTATATTAAATTGCCAACCTACCGTTTGCCTAATAAGCACATTGCTCTATAAATAATTTGACTTCCGTGTTTGTGGTTAATTATCTATTTCAGCTGCAAGTTCTTTGTGGTAGATCTGTCTCCTATGTGAATGTACAGCGCCTAGCAAAATGGGGACTTGATTGCAGTTGGAGCCAATAGGTGCTACCATAGTACAAATAATTACTGAACTGTAATGCAATCTTTTAGTAACACCATTACAACACACTGCTCAGAATGTCTCTTAAAAGCTTCTACTGCTCGTCTTACAAAATGCAGGAATCTATATGGTTAACCATTTGCAGCAGCATCACTTAATAAAAATATATAGTGATAATTATACAGCTGCAATCAGCCTTTGACCTCAGTTTACACACCCAATAGAGAATTCTCTCATAACAAGGCAGAATAGTTCAGTTATCACGTCAGTAAAGATTTGATGCCATCAATGCAGCATGTCCATAAAACATCATATATGAATCTTGTTTCTTTCCAGGCTGCAGTATATTTCTTTCACTTCCACAGACGCTGTACAACATTCATAAGTAAGTGCATTAACATAAGTGTCATACCATCCTACTTAAATCATTGCATTTTATGCTTTCCTCACAAGAGAGAAATAAATGTAACATTTGAAAAAGCTATGTTCCTTTCAGTCAGCAACTGGTCCACAGATGTACTGTGTGAAAACTTGACTACAGAAACACAATCTGTAACATTGGTTTCTTTTTCATGTTTATAACTCTTCCTGTTTCCCTGTCACTTTCAGTCCTCCAGACACTTAGGCTTGGTCTGCACTACAAACTTACGTCGGTATAACTACGTCACTCAGTCCTGAGTGACGTAGTTGCATCGACCTAACCCCCAGAGTAGACAGCGCTATGTAGATGGAAAGGCTCTCCCACAACAGGGCTGGCTCCAGCTTTTTTGCCGCCCGAAACGGAAAAAAAAAAAGCCGCGATCGGCGGCCACCCCGCCCGGTCGGGCTGCCGCCGCTTCATTCTTCGGCGGCAATTCGGTGGCGGGTCCTTCGCTCTGAGAGGGAGCGAGGGACCCGCTGCTGAATTGCCGCCGAAGACCCGGACGTGCCGCCCCTTTCCATTGGCCGCCCCAAGCACCTGCTTCTTTTGCTGGTGCCTGGAGCCGGCCCTGCCCATCGACATAGCTACTGCTCCTTGTGGAGGTGGAGTACCTACGCCAATGGAAGAAGCTCTTGGAAGTGTTTCTCCCACCGGCCCACAGTCTAATCCAGTTCCTCTTTAGAACTCCAGTTCTTCAATAGGCAAATTAAACAGTTGTACGCTGTTGGTTAATAATACCGTGTTTTATTTGCAGTCAAATGTGCTCCATAATTTTCTCCAAATGTTATTGGCCACTGTAGGTAAATTATTGTTGTTGAGTACCTTACACTCAATACACCATCTTATCCTCTTTCAAATCCCTCTTTAAAACTCACGTCTGCCATGAAGCATATAGAAAACTACCATCAGATAATGGCTAGGCAGGTGGCAAGTTGTGATTATTGCTAATGGTTGGTGTATTACGTCTATGAAATTGTATGCACAGCTAGTCTATGCTAAAATAGCCTATTTTAATTATACTGTCCTGCCCTCTCCCTTATATTTGCTTGTTTATTTCATCCACCTGTTACATCTGCTGTTTCAGATTCCAAGCTCCTAGGAGGAAGGACTGTCATTTATTACATGCATATATAATGCTAAGTACAACCTGGTTGAGGCCATTAGTGCAATATAAATATTATAGAGTTTTAAATTTAGAATAATATAAAATAATACCGAGCACTTACACAGCATTTTTATACTGTGGATCTCAAAGTGCTTTACAAAGACAGAGCCCAAGGAAGCAGGGAAGAGGAATGGACATATCCCAATTCCTTTGCACACCAGCTTGCTGAGCTGCTGGAGTAGGTTACACCGTCCAAAGAAATGGTGCAGTGTCTGCTCTTCACCTGCATGCTAGGGTACTCCACGAGACATTGTGCCTCCTGCAGCATATTTCCACCAGCGATGTCTCCTGTGTCATTCCAAAAATGGGCCTGCAACCAACCCATAATGTGGGCTTATTGGTCCTGAAAAGTGCCAGAGACCTGGTAGAATTAGTATTTATTCTAATTAGTGAATATTCTGTATTTTCTTTCTTCTCATTCTCAGCACTTTGTTTTGCTTAGCATTTTCCCTCTTATGTAATCATTTGGCAGGACTTCTCTCAAGCCTTCTGCTGGTTTATATCACTAATTTGAACAGAAAAGTACAGTAGTTCTAAACATCCAGCAAGGTCAGATTTATTGGATTCTAGTGGTCATGCTCAGAAGCTTTGGTAATTAGAAATTCAGGTTTTCTGGTAAACTTGCCTCTTTTCTCCCCACCCTGCTACTCTGAACATCAGCAGGTATTTTATCAGCAAGGGTTTTTTTTGTTTTTAAAACAACAAAAATTTCAGCAGACCTGATTCATATATGAGAATGAGAATTATATATATATATATATATATATAATTAGGGCTGTCAGGCAATTAAAATTAATTGCAATTAATCAAGTGGTGTTAAACAATAATAGAATACTATTTATATAAATATTTTTGGATGTTTTTCACATTTTCAAATATATTGATTTCAATTACAACACAGAATACAAAGTGTACAGTGCTCACTTTATATTATTTTTATTACAAATATTTGCACTGTAAAAATGATAAAGAAATAGTATTTTTCAATTCACTTCATACGAGTACTGTAGTGCAATCTCTTTATTGTGAAAGCGCAACTATAAATAAATAAATTTCAACTGGTATTCTATTGTTTAACAGTGCTATTAAAACGGCGATTAATTTTTTTGAGTTAATCGTGTGAAGTAATTGCAATTAATGACAGCCCTAATATTTTATATCTATCTACCTATCAGTGGCCTCTAACCTTTTTACACACAAGATCACTTTTTGAATTTAAGATCAACCCAGGATCTACCCCACCTCATCCCCGAGGCCCTGCCCTGCTTATTCCATTCCCCCTTTTCTCCCCCCCACCCTCACTCACTTTCACCGGGCTGGGGCAGAGGGGGTTGCAGGCTCTGGGCTCGGGCCGAGGGGTTCAGAGTGTGGGAGGGGGCTCTGGGCTGAGCCTGGGGTAGTGGGGTGGGGTGCAGGAGGTGGTGAGGGGTGCAAGCTCTGGGAGGGAGTTTGGATGCAAGAGGAGGTGGAGACCCACTGCTCCCACCCCGCCCCAGGGCCGCAAGAACTGCCCCCGCAGCTCCCATTGGCCACAGTTCCCAGCCAATGGGGGCTACGGAGTCGGCGCTGGGGATCGGGGGCAGCAGCAGCGCGCGGGGCTGCCTGTCGCCCTCCTGCCCCCCAGGGGCTGCAGAGACATGCCAGCTGCTTCTGGGAACAGTGTGGGGCCAGGGCAGGCAGGCAGCCTGCTGCTGCGCCACCGGATTTTAGTGGCCGGAGATTGTTATCGACTGGCAGAGGCTCCAGGATCGACCAGTCGATTGCGATAGACCGGTTGGTGACCACTGATTACACAGACACACACACACTGCAAGATGCCTGACTATTTGCATATGTGTGTATACACACACACACACACACACGCAAGTAGTCAGGCATCTTGCAGTATAGACTGAACCTAAAGTTGTTCTTTTAAATCATAAGTATCAATCAATGACCCAAATCATATAATCTTTAGTGATCCAAACCAGTGATGAGCTGCCAAAATCTTAACAACCGGTTTCCTACCGGGTCTTCGGCGGCGGGTCCTTCACTCGCTCCAGGTCTTCGGCGGTACTTCGGTGGTGGGTCCTTCAATGCCGCCGAAGACCCGGAGCGAGTGAAGGACCCACCGCCGAAGTGCCGCCGAAGACTCATAGCGCCGCCCGGTGAGTACAGGCCCCACGTTTTATTACGTGTTTTGTTTTAGTAATCCCTGCCAGGGCCCTGTCGAAACTGTTTGAATTGGGCCCCGCACTTCCTAAAGCCGGCCCTGCACATTGGGGTTGCAAAATTGTATCGGGGGCCGGGTAGGGAAGACTGTGCCTCCCAAAACAGCCTGTCCCCCCCCCATCCGACCCCCACCCATGTCCTGTCCTGACATGAATCTCCCTATGGCACTGAAATTAAATGTAGACTATAATTTGGCATTTGAGAAGTGAAAGGGATGGTAGCCCTAAGGGAAAAGATAACAGCTTGGCTCTTTGTGTTAAATAGCTGCCTGCAAGCCTCAAACTGCTGAATGAGCTTTAGGGTAGGGAAGGCTGTGCCTCCCCAAACAGCCTGGCCCTGCCCCCTATCCGACCCCCACCCACTTCCTGCCCCCCAACTGCCCCCCTCAGAATCCTCGACCCATGCTGCTGCTCGTCACCTGACTGCCCCCCCGAGACCCCCGCCAACCACCACCCCAGGACCCCACCCCCCATGAACCTCCCCCTGCTCCCTGTCCCCTGACTGCCCTGACCCCTATCCACCCCCCCACTGAGTCCTGACAGACCCCCGGAATGCCCACAATCCAACCCCCCGTTCCCCATCCCCTGACCGCCCCTCCCCGAACCTCTGCCCCCTCCCTGTCCCCGGGACTCCCTGCCCCTTATCTAACCCCCCTGGCCCCGGCCCCCTTACCATATCGCTTACCCCCACCTCCCCCCTCTCCCGGAGCCTCAGCGTGCCACATCCAGGAGCCACCCTGGACAGCGCTGCAGCGGCGTGGCTGCAGCGGCGTGGCTGCAGCGGCGTGGCTCCAGCGGGACCTGAACTCCCGCTGCTCAGCCGCAGCTCGCAGCCCCGTCCCCTTACCATGCGGCTCTGAGTGGGAGGAGCTCAGGCCCCGCTGGAGCCCGCTTTAGCTCTGTCCAGGGCCGCTCCTGGACGCGGCGCACTGAGGCGCTGGGGGATGGGGGAAGGCGGAGGCAGGGGGGAGCCCCCGACATTCTCGTGGGGGCCCCTGCGGGGCCCGGGGCAAATTGCCCCACTTGCCCCTTCCTCTGGGCGGCCCTGCCACGGACCGGAGTTGTTTGCCCACCTGCACGCCTCTTTAACAGCCGGTTCTACACCGGCTTCTAAATTTAACAACCGGTTCTTGCGAACCGGTGGGAACCAGCTCCAGCTCACCACTGAACTCCCACTGATTTAATATATGCTTTATGGGAGTTTTGCATTAGTAAAGAGATTGGGTACAGGCGCAATCGCTGTTTATCTTACATTTATCCTTTCCTCTGACAGACAATCAGTTCTTTACCACATTTAAAAGTACTATAAAAGATCAACAATCAAGAAAAAACAAACATGAATTTTGTTATATTTTACTACTTAAAATTGATTCCACATTACTATAGCATTTGGGGGATGCCACAACAATCATTTTGCAGAAACATATCTAAAAGTAAGCAAATAATAATGTGCCAGCATTAAGTGTGATGTATAATGGATGAAAACATTTCAGCAGCCTCTAGCTAAAAGTGTTTCATCATCTAAATAAATAGTTGCACAGCATGTGGATTTCTGTGAAATTGGATGAGAATTGCAAAAAACACAGCTACTGCAAATCACTCGATATGAGGTTTGTGTTTTATTGCTAGACAGTGACGAATAGGGGAAGCTGAGCAAAGACTACCTAATATGAATAAAACAATCTAATTTTAGCCAAGTAAGAAGAGTTGCATAGGTATCCTAGGATCTCTTAAAATGTTTAACTTTCTAAAACATTTGCACAGTGGTAATAACATTTGAGAGACGAACTGTTAAGCTTCATAGACCTTGTTCAAGCTAGAGTTTTGAAATTATTGGGGAGGGGTAGATTAGATAACATGTATTTCACTCCATAAAATAGATAGTTTTCTTTATTTGCAGAGCACACTTAAAGAAAACACTGAAGAAAGATTCTTTGTATGAAGGACTTCTACCTCTGGTATCTCCTGTGCTGCTGTTTGCTCTCCTTACTATCTGGGTGATTTTATCACCGTGTGATATTTTAGCAAAACAAACCAGGCTGTTTTTATGGATGGTTGGTGTTGTTTTCTCAAATGTTATTGTAAGTATTTTTGTGACTATGGTTTATATTTAGATACACTATTCTATGAGTAGGATTAAATTATTCTTTTATTTGATGTGACTAAAAGAAAGAAAAGAGAAACATTAAAAAACAAAAAAAACCCTAAAAAAAATCCCTAAAAACTCACCAGAATCACTTTCTCTCCTCTTGTGCCACTGGAATTAAGTGTCTAAATAGTGTGTCCACATTACACCTTCGTTTATAAAAATATATTTCACCAATTGCCTGAAATGTTGAAGCTTTCAGCGGTGTTAGTACAGGTTTTTGGATATTTATTCCAGAATAGTGTAAAATTTTATAAGGTCTCTTTTCCAGGGCTTTATGAACAATGCTGTCTTTATTTCATGAAACATACCAGATATCCTCTAACATGTAGGTGTAATTGAGTACTCCCCCGGTGAAATTCAGCCCAGTTTAGAGGACCATCACAAGTACTATAGTATACGTAATATTTTGAGGGCATAAGTGATGCCTTGCGATGGTCCTCTGAATTTCTTTTACATTACTTGTTCATTGTGCCCTAGAACCCTCTTTCTTCATCTAATGTCGATGGAAGATAAATCTTTGTGAAGTAGCAATATGGAATACCATGCAACAAAACTGAACTTAATTCTTAATGCTCAAGCTCTCATTGAAATCAGGGTTGGTTCATGAGAGCACTTGATTTCAATGGGACTTAAGCACATGTTTTGCTAAATCAGGGCCTTATGTTGAAAAATTTGCCTGCCTCAGGACAAACCCTGAATAACTGGGCTTCATCATGGCACTAAGTTTTGGGAAAATATCGAATCCACATGCCTCAACCTGCAAAAGATATTGTCTGACTCCAAAAATATAAGTTTACTTAAGTAAATAATGCAACTGAATATATAAGGATGAATTTTTTTTTTGAGAATTATATGAAGTGAACTATTAACTTCATACAGAGACCTGCAAATGCACTGAGATGTTCGACAAACATATCTGTGTACACCTTTTCAGTATAATTGTTCCTCCACAGGTAAATATATTTCAGTTGTTTTACAGGAAGATGCACATTTTACAGCATATTTTTAACTATACTTCTGGTATAATTTCCAGTACATAGTTTCACTATAAAAGTGAATATCAATCAGTACTATGCCCATTGTAATAAAGTGCATATGTATTTATTACTACAGTATACAAGAGTAGGTTAGTTTGGCATACAGTACCACCAAATTTAACATGTACAGAAACTGAAGTTTCCTGCATTACAGGAGATGTGAAATCCTGTCAGTTCAGGATGGAAGCCGTGAGCTCTCATTAGAGGCCTCTAAACATTTATTTTGTAAAACCAGAAATGGCTATTCATGGATACTGCTGATGTTCAAATATCCTTTTAAAAATATGCCTCTGACAGTCACAACTGAATTAGCTCCATCTTGGAGACTGCACTCAGCCGTGTGAGGGGTGCCTCATTTTTCAAGGGTACAAGCTTCATTGTATGAATTTGTCATTCCATTTACATTTCTAAGAGAGCTGGGTATGTTCTTAAGTGAGAAATACGGATTTCCTGCTAGTTAGGGAAATCTGACAGGCAGTATGCAAATATTAAATAAGTATCTCAACCAATGAAGAACAATAGTGTCAAGATACTTTTAAGGGGCAAACAACAAGGTGAACCAAAAGTTCCTTGTTATGCTGCAATTTATTGCAGCTAATCAGTGCAGTATGTATTTCAAGATCCTGTCTTACTGAGATAATTACTGCTGAATTAGAGGGTTACATCAATTAAAATGTGTAAATAAATAGTAATTGAAACCACCAACATTTCAAAAGCAAAAAAAGCCGTCTGTTTTCTCCTCTCCATTGGTACCTTTTATACATATTCCCTTCAGAGACTAAGTAATGGTTGTCATAGCAATAGAGGTTCACCCTGAGATTCTGACACACTGGGTTTTCATTATCTGCCCTAAAGACCACAAATTGCAGCCCACTTTTCTCTACCTGCCAGTAGCTTGCACGTCTCGTTCCTTTCACAACATATTTATTTGTCCACTAGGCACTTTTGACTTCAAGCCTGCTTTCAACTTGACCTCAAAACCATGCAATGTCAGACTTGGTAGGTAAAGCAAGGGCCTCCTGGGGGGAAAAAAAAAGAGAAAAGCCTCTAATGGGAAGCTGTAAGAGATAGGCAGTTCCCAATATTTTAGCATCTAACTGGAAAAACAAGGCTTAAAAAAAAAAAAAAAGGGTAAGGTGTCTACCAGCAGTGTATCTCCAAGAGACAGCTCTTGCCCCTCCCCCCCACACCCTGCCCCTTTGGCAGGGCAGTAGCACAGTCTTGGAGCCACTCCATTCACCCCACTTCGCTGCTGGTTTGAAGCACAAAACTTTCTTCCCTCTATTCCACGGAGGGATCTCAAAGGCATCCTGGGAAATGTTCAGGCAACATTGCTGGCTGGTCTGAGCACACAGTCACAGAAGGCAAATGTCACATTTCTGTCTGAACTACAGGTACACTTAGAAACTCCCCTAAGACAGGCAGAGATTTACATTCAGAATAACAGAACACTTTGTATTGAGGATTTAGGATGGTGGATGGGAGAGTCTGAGCCCTTTTGGACCTCCTCATGGAGCTGGGTGTGGAGACTGCGACTGCTTGAGGGATTTCAGATTCACTGCTAATAAATGGATGGGGCGGAGGTGAGCATAACTGTGGAAACAGTTAACGGGGAGTTCAAAGTGGGAGAAGACTGAGGACCTAGACTGAAATATAAGACAACTGGAATACATACACGTTTAAGAGAATCATAGCCAAAACAGAATTCTTAATCATTTCCTTGCCCCCACAAGCCACTCCTCCTCCCTCCTGTCACAATGGGCACCACCATCCATCCATCCTCACCATTCAGGCCCATAACCAGGGCGTCATCTTCAGCTCTGCTCTTTCTCTAGAGCCTCTGATCCAGGCTATGTCTAAATTTAGCCAGTTTTTCCTGAACCCAATAATAAATACTAAAACAATACTAATATAATAGAAAAAGAGAGACTAATGAATAACCTTTTAAAGACAAATATATGCAGTACGGCCACTAAGGTCTAGGTGGGGAATACAAGTCAAATAAAAATACTTGTAGCATTGGAAGGGTGTAAACATTAAGGAAAGAGGAATTAGCTGGGTTGACACATGGGAATGAGGTTAACGGGATGGAATTAAGAAAGAAAAATTTAACCTGTCAAAAAAAATATTCCTAACACAATTAGCTTGTGGAATGGGAATAATGGAACCCACCTTTCTGAAGCTAGTTTAAATGGAACCAAAGCACTGAGAATAGATTGTAGGAAATGATTCTGAGGGAAATGGATTAGATCAGTAGAAGAGTCTTAATATCCCACTTCCATTTTTATCTGATAAACTCAGTTCTAACCTTTTTTCTACTGTCATCTGTAGTGACTAGAGTAGTTTAGGTTTAAAATAGTATATTATTTATTGGCCAATATATCTCAGAACTAGTAAATGACTGCAATTACAGTTCTTTATGCACAATATAGTTAGTTGATGCCTTATGTTAGTGAAAGTAATTTATTGTGATGGAAACCGGGAATAATGTGAGTAAATATTACAAACACGCTTTGAGAATTTAACATCAGTTTTAATGGAAAATCATATTTAACATAATTAACAATACATATTCCACCTTCTGGATATATGCAGTTGCTCAGCAAAAAGATACTATGTATGCAATAGGAAGATTACTGTAACTTACTCTCATTGATATACTGCAAAGCACAACACAGCTCCCTAAGTGAATTCTAAAATTGATTGTAGTTTAAAAGGGACACTGTCAATTTCAATAATACATTGTAAGCCAATAAGTTTACCTGCACTATTAATAATTTCACCTTCAATTACTGAATGTGAAATAAATTCACATACTTTATTTTTTCCATTTCTTTTAGCTTCCACAATGAACCACTGAAGTCAGTGTCACCTTTACTTTCAGAGGCTTAATACTGTAGTGTTTAGATTTCAAACTCTACAGGGGAATGAACTTTTCATTTGATTTTTTTTTTTTAATTTATGGAAGTATTTCTATTGATTTTAGGATTTATAAACACTAATTTTTACCACATTTCGATTTTGCACCCAACTTAAATTGACCAGGGGTAAAATTTTTGAAAGTGCATAAGTGATTTAGGCGACTATTTCATTTTCAAAAATGATTTTGGCTCTTAGGCCCCATTGACTTCCAATGAGACTTAAGCCATGTTCACACTACAGCACAGTGTTGCTGTAATGCCATGGTGTAGATGCTTCCCACATTGATGGAGGGTTTTTTCCTATCATTGTTGGTAATCCACCTCTGTGAGAGGTGGTAGGTAGATTGACTGAAGAATTCTTCTGTTGATTTAGCTGCGCCTACAGTGGGGTTAGGTTGACCTAACTACATTGCACAGGGAACACATTTTTTCACAGCCCTAAATGATGTAGCTAGGTCAATCTAATTTTCAAGCGTAGACCAGGCCTGGGGCCAAATTCTTAAAAGTATATAGGCATCTAAAGATGTAGAGAGGTGCCTCATGGGATTTTCAAAAAGCATCTACGCACCTAACTCCATTGATTTAATGGGAGTTACGCAACCAGCAGCTTTACAAAACCCCATTAAATCCCATTTGAACCAACTGAATTAGGTGCTTTTGAAAATCCTACTAGGAGTCTGTCTGGATTTTTAGGTGCCTAAATACCTTTAAAACACTGACCCACAAAAGCCTAAGTCACCTTTGAAAATAGGACTTAGGTGCTTTTGAAAATTTTATCCATGGTTTGGTATTTAGTCATTTCAAGCTGAAAGAAACTTTGGTTAAAGAAATGAAAATTCATGTAGTGAAAATACATAGAAGACCAATAGTATTACAGTTTCAGGATCTCAATAAAACACTAATACTTTTGATGTATACAGCATTTTATATGTTCAATCCATCACTTTGACCATGATCCCTCTACCTCAATCCATTGCTCCAATGATTAAGTTTGATTTAGTATTATATTTTTGAGTTTCTGTGAAAACAAGTGTCAAACAAGCTCCCCTTTATGCAAAGTTGTTTTTAAATTCAAAGTGTAACATGTCAAAACACTGTCTCCATAAAAGATATGTGTTTTAAATTACATGTAATAAAGTGCTGTAAAAATCACAGCCAATAAAGGAGCAAAGACAATCATTTACGGTAAATCTCAATCTTGGAACTACCCATGTTTCCTAAGCCACAGGCTTTTTCAACTGAAAATACTCTAGCAGACAAATTAACACGCTTCTTTTAAATAAATTGCTCCAGTATGTCTTACCTGACTGATTACATTATTCTAACAGTGCAGAGTGATCATTTGCCAGATGAGCGACACCAGATCTGAAGCTTTCCACTGGCTCCTGTTTCCATTAGCTCTTGTGATCTACGCAGCGGTAACAGGGCTCCTGGGCAAGAATGAGGAAATGGCACTTACCATATTCACTACGTTAGCCACAGCTGCTCACGTACACTATGGAGTTTGGGTGGTAAATACATGCTTTTTATAATTTTATTCATAACTGCAGGCATAGAAAACGTTACAACTGAGGCAGTGGGGAGAAGATACTTGTGTCAGATTTGGTGTGATTACTAGGACATACGAGTATGGCAGTATGTTATACTTTGAATTTTTTAAAATTCATTCTTTGCTGTATATTTATCTTTAGTCCAAAGGAAAACAAACCTGTTCATTATGGGCACTGCATCTCTTGCACCCAAGTACAGAATCTTTAGTGGCTCAAAATACTGCAGGGACAGTGATTACTCTCAGCTAAGCCTATCATAGTCATTATCTTTGTTGATTGGTTTTACGTAACAGTTTATATGTGTCCTGCATTTCCCCCAGCCTCTTCCCTAGGGGATTAATCCAATGAAGTTAAAACAGAGTAAAATACAAAACATAATAATAAAAATGGTAATTTTGTTTTGAATGTGCAAAGCAGCATTTCAAACATTTAATTTTAATCTATGTTGCCCCCTCCACCAGCTCCCATGTTAGAGGTACCATGGTGTTATTGTGTGTATGTTCTAGGAATATCCTCCAAAGCTTTCAGATTAGCTGGATACCGTTTGAATTTATTTTTGGCATTTATCGCCTTCTGAGTTACTGATCAAATTCATTCTTCTGCAGTCAATAGCATTTTGTCCTACTGATGTTGTAGAATAATCCTTAAAACATGCCTTAATTTGACTTTGCTTTAAGAGCAAATGTCCCAAATAGCAAAAATTTTGTTTAGAAAAATATACGGCTGACATCCTTTTATTGAAGACACACTGCTGTGCTGTATGGGGAAGCTTTGCCTCCTGCCTTGAAAAAAATGTTCCCTTCTCAGTGTGTGGATGCAAGTGCCATAATAGATTTTAAAACATATGTCAATCCAGGCCAAAATAGCACAGATTAGATCTGAAGCATTTTGGCCAGATTCACTGCTGGCATAAGAGGGCTAATTCTATTCACTTCTTATGCCAACTGTGAATCTGGTCCCCAATGGCTTAATCTTCATCAATATACATGAGGAATTTAAAATCAACACTCACTAGCTTTAACACTTAGAATTCCAAACCTAAACTCCCAATGAGTGGGAGTACAGAGACTTTGAGTTCTTGTGCAGGTACAATAATGTTTTCTTATCAAAACACTCAACGCTCTCTAATTTGTCTTTAGGGGAGACAGCTGAGTAAGCATTTCAACATTTACATCTTTTCGTTGAAGAAACACATTCAAGAATGAACATCTTTGCGGCGACCAGAGCATGAACCTTACCATGGAGCTCCTCATCTGTGTTTCTGTGATAAAAATAGTGGTACTTTGTTGATCAAAATAACCAAAGGGTATAATGGGCTAGATATGCAAACTGCTGAGACAATGAGCTACTCAGCAGGGTTCAGAGAAAGCTAGTCCAGTAATGAAAGTATCGCTAGTCAATCTGCTGCCTATGTTGCCTATCCCACCTATCCTATCTTCTTTCTCTTTGCCCAGAATATCAAGTCTGAACATCTTGTCCCTACCTTTGAAACCCTGCACAAATCAGTCCTCGGCTATACTACATCATTGAGCTTTTTTAATAGTGCCCTCTCTCCATCCCTTCCATTCACCAATGAAGCCAGTTTTGATGTCCCCTACACTTCCTTCCCTGGCTCATATCTTTGTGCCTGCTTAAGTGATGCCATATTTGTGTGGAACTTCCAATATGCCAGCCACATTCCATTTCCCTCCCAAAGTCTCACTTCTCCGACACTGCCCCCAAATACTAACCCATGTCAAGTTAATCAGTGAAGAGAATCAGACGAGGAAATTGCAAGCAAAACAAGACCCTTTAAATCCCATACTCTTTGGTTTCTCAGTGATCCTTGTCTGAGCTATGTTATTCAGATTGTAAGCTCTGCAGGGCAGGGATCGCCCTTACATTTGTGTCTTATACAGCACAAAGCACATTGTTGGTGCTTACCTAAGTAACAACAAGCAACATACCCCACTCTAAGCTGGTTGTTTATGAAAGAAAACTTGTCCACTACAAGGCTTTGAAGATTCTCTGATGGCTTGTCTACACACGCTGCAGTGCATCTGGTGAAGATGCTCTATGCCGACAGGAGAGAAGCTCTCCCACCAATATAATGCTGTCCATACCAGGGATATATGTCAGCGTAACTTATGTTGCTAAGGGGGGTGGTTTATTCACACCACTGAGCAACGTAAGTAATGCCGACATAAGCTGTAGTGTAGACATAGCCTAATCTTGTTGTGAAGGTAGGGCCTGAATGCTAGAGTAAATGGGCAAACAAATTTGCAAAACCAAATAGACACAAAGTGAATGACCAGTTAGATCCTTTGTACACAGTATTTTTTCAGCCTCAGCTATGTATGCAATACATACTATCAGCTCTTTGCCTGCATTCTTGACTAGGCTAATAAGTCTTCTGGTGCATATAGCAGAGTTGCAAATTCCTTTTGCTATTTAAAGTACATTACTCAGGTTATATGGGAAATAAGAATTTGGGGGAGGAGTGGGATGAGGGCTACAGAGATATTTAAAAATAGAAGTGTTCATCCTTCATTCTCACAGGCCTCTGAGCTTGGGCTCTCTTCCTCTCACAGGCTGTACTAGCCAAAGAGGCTTTCTGACATAGGACAATTCATATCAATGCCTCAATTTCCACATGCACAAGATAAGCATTATACTTACTTCATAAGGGAACCTGTGGACTGGCTGATGAGTTTATAGAATACTTAGATATTTCACTTCCCAAAGGCAGGGGTTAATCACACAAGTGTCAGGTTATTGGCCGGTTCCTTGAGTTTTCATTTCACCCATTTGTTGATTCTGAGATGCCATTTTTCTGTCTTTGTCCCTTCTTCACTCTTCTCCCACCAACATGCAGACCCACATCCACAGCTTAGGTTAAAGGCTCTCTCAAGAGGAGTATTAATTAATTCTGTCATCTGCACAGTGCTGGGATGGGGCTGGTTTACAGCTTGCCCTTACTTAAATTTCAGTCTGTGTACCATATTACAGTAGATGGCTTGACCTGGCTTTCAAGCTACAAGTCATTCTTGCTAGGGGTCACTCTCCCAAAGCAGTAATGTAACGTGTGACCTTCAGCAAGATTGTGTCTTTTTGCCTAGTTTCCCCATCTTACATCTGCTACTTTACATTTGTAAAGCACCAATATCTATGGATTAAAATTCCAAGTATGTTGTATGCTGGCTCCCATATGAATCTATCACACTGGAGTGAGCAAGTGCTCAGGACAGAATGCAGTATACTGGCTTTGCCCAAGGAGGACACAAGGGACCTCCTCCTCCTCCCAACTCAGAGAGATCTCATTTAGACTCAGAGGCCTGTATTTGTGGATTTGGAGGCCCAGAGTTCTAGTCCCAGCTATTCAGGTGTGCGTCAATTGTGCTTGCATCACATCAATTCAAGCCAATGGTTGAGTCAGCCACTTAGGGAAAGTGCTGATATCACTTCTTGAATCATGAGTTCCCTTCCCTCTAACTCATGTGGAGGGTGGAGATGGAGATGAAGGTGCGGGTTTGGTTGCCCCAGGCCTTTTTGGGGGTCTCCAGAGCAGGATTCCAGTGCTGCATGAAGGAATACTTGCTGGACCTACCAGGTCTAAAGGATTGTGTATTTAATGAGATGCTAGAGGGGAAGCCCTGAGTGCATGTAGCTAAGAAACTGAAGTTTCAGGCAAAGATTCTGAAGTCTCATTCTTTGATGGAATTAAATATTAATTCACATACTGTATATATTGGAACAGAATTTTCTCACCTACTTTGACACCTGTAGATTTTCAAAGTTTTTTTAAATCCATCCATCAAAAAATATCAGGAAAATATTTAGGTGAATATAAGCAGATCATAATTTTTTAAATACAGTATATGAAAAGTATGTGTAATAGAAAAATACACCTCAGTTTAAATATTTATATCAGGATCATTATCTTTGTATTGTTGCCCCCCCCCCAATTTATTTGTAAACGGTTGGAAATGTGCATGTACACAGAAGTGGCTTAAGTGTACATAGAAGTGGCTTAATTTGGTGTTTTGTAGTTACTGTGTTGTAGTACCTTGAAATAGTTCATTAACTGAAATGACAAAACTTGAAATGCCACCATCCTGCCCATGTCTCTACTATATTGATTTTTTTTTTAAAATGCATAGCACAGAGTTTTAATGTAAATGAATTCCTTGTACTATTTAATGTGGAAGCTACATAATATATGCAAGTTATGTCCATTTTTTTAAAATTAACTGTCAAGCTACATTAAGGCAAACTGAAGTATAGATGCAGATTATGTACTGTACAGTGTATGTTACACAGTTAGATAATGTCTTGGAAAATAAGTTAACTTTGATTCAACAAAATGGACTAGAGTGGTTTGTTCACAGCAGGGCAGTATGAGCACTGATTGACTTTCCACAAGGTCTGCTAAGGACTATGGAGAAGATAAAGGAGGCATGGTGTCCAGTTTTACTTGGTATATCTGTGTCACAGATGGTTAGTTTCACCATCATTTTCAAATGAAAGTTATTAAGTGAAATTTATACTCTTTATGATGTGGCATGTTAGACATTGGAACATAGATTTGCTTACCTATTCTGATGAAGGGCATCTACCCTAATACTCTTCTCACTACGACAATGAGCTCAAATCTGGTTGGACTGAATGGGGTCACTAGATTTCTGCCTACCTCTTCATGGCCTCCTTCTCTCTTTAAATTACTAAATTTTGGTGGGGAAGAACTGTTATAGTACATGCTAAAGATGCTGAATTGCCCCCATGCTGAATGGATGGGCAAAGCAGCCTTCTCTGAAGCTGTGATGAAACATTAAAGCAAACCTCTAGGTGGAGATCAAGAGCAATTTAGATTAGATCCTTCTTCCCTCTAGGAAGGGAATCATTCCCTGCCCCCCATTACTGTTCCCTAAGGCTTAGCAGCAAATACCTAAGCACACTTTCCCACAGTACACTGAGTCAGATCCATGGGGTTGGCTTTAATGCATTCTTTCAGCTATTTTGTCACACAGAGCAAGTATTTCGGATCCCAATTTAAATCTTTTAGAAATTGCACTTAAGATGGCATCCCTACCGTTAGACCTCTGTGGCAAAGATCCATTTGGAATTTCCCTGTAGATCTTCACTATAATATTCCCTCTTCACCTCTTAGTTTACTTTTGCTGTACCTATATCCAAACTAAACTACAGCTGCAAGAGATTTAGTACTCTGAAACTGGAAAGAGTTTGCCAAAAGAATAATCTGCATCTTATTTTATTTTTTAATATTTTCATTCATCTCGTCCTGAGATTTGTGGAAGGGCGATACAGTTGTTGGGCTCCGGAAAAGAGATTTCTACATACATTATGAACCACATTTCCTTTTAAACCGTTTGGCTTTTTTTCCTTGCTCGCATTTGCAATTAATAATGAAACAGTTTAATATATAAATAGAAAACTACCACTTTAAACTGTTTTGAATAGTCTCTAGAGCTACACAGATTTTAACATATACTTTTTTTATTAAATATGTAAAAAGATAAACGCAAGTCAAGTTATTCACATATTCAGAGACAAAAAAAAAAATCTACTCTACCATGCGACAATTTGTGGGTAATGTAAAATGACTGATACATCTGAATAAGACTTTTTGCATCTATGATGTCATTACTTATCTATTTATAATTAACAATACATATGTTTACATTCCTTTCAGTTTACATTTAATATATAACCAAAGCTTTATGGTGTGCTATTTAGTAAAAGTAATTACAAATGCATATTAAAACCATAACGGAATAATGGTGTTACTCAGCCGAGCGGGAGGACAACTCTATCCCCTTCCCGAGTATCACTCCTCAGCACATTTGAGGCTCTCTGGCTTGGGAAGGTAACTACCATTCCTGTGCCCTACATCAATCACTTCCTGCCTGATACAACGCAGTGAAAGGGTTATACTCCACAGACCAATTACAAGGCAGAGTAAGAAGAAAGGGAGGAAAGGACAGTTTGGCTTTTTTATATACTTATAGCTGAAAGGGGTAGGGCAGAGTAGCCTTGTCAAGAACCACCTCACAAGCAGAAAAATCTAACCATTTTGCAGCCTTGCAAAAGCACTTTTTAAGGAAGCGCTCTCCAGTGTCTGCTTGCCTCTAAATGGAAAGATGATGGAATTGTATCAGGGATCACAATCTGGTGCTGATGGCAGTAGCAGGGTAGAGTCTGATCCTGAATTCCTTGCATCACCAGAACTTCTGCAGATGCTAATGGAAATTTTTGAGACAAAATTAAGAACTGGGCCCTAAATGCTGATATTTTAGACAGAAAATATCCTGGATCTTCTATCTATGCTGGATCACAGGAATATATTTTATATCCTTATAAAAAACTCCTCACTTTTTAATTTGCTTTATGTATAGGATTTTAATTGAAACCAAGCAAATCAATTAAGCTAAAAATAGCAATGGAAGTGCTACATTGCAGGGTACAGCTCTTCCACTACCTATTATTGGGTAGGAAGTGAGGTCAATGCTGGGGTCAGGGCCAGAAAACTCTTTCAATCCACAGGGACTGGATACTATGCTGCTGAGCCGAGGGAGCAATTGAGGAAATGGAAACACCTGTTCTAATGTTTAAAGGTATTTTATGTACTGGCTGTGGTATGAAACTCAGTAGGAGTGATTGCTCACATTTAACTAAATTAGATGAACTTTGCTGCAAAAGATTTGAGAATTGAAGATTTTTTTTAAATTAAAAAACCTTCTGCTTCAGTATAAATTTAGAGCTTAATCAGTAAAGCAACTCCATAAAGATTTAAAAAGATACACCATTCAGAAGGTTTTATTGAGCTTTTCAGTGATGGTAGCCTGGGATGAGACTTTTCCTTGTGCCTGCCAAATCAAATAACTGAAGTAATAAATTTAGAATTAAGAAATCAAGTGATGGAAGCTAGGAACACCAAGTGTAAAAGAAAGGCAATACTGATTCAGAAATAGATCCAAAATGTGCAATTTTACGATTTTTTTTTTAAACAAGGAATGCTTTTAAATGTATTTTATGCTATATTTCTGCCTATAAAATGCCATAATTTAGAAGAGGGTAACAAGGACCCTAATTAAGAAGAAACACCCTTGGCACAGAATTCTCTACATTCTGGTTCTGCACGGGGCCAACCTATCCAGTAGTAAGGTCAGTCAGCCTGCAGAACTGTTTTTGTGCCTTGCAGGTGATCCCCTGCTAATGTGTTCTTTATCTCTAACAGGACTTCTGGCTAGTTCACTAAGCATGCAAACTGGCCTAAGCACGAATGGGGAAAATATCCTTCAATCAGTATTCAAATCATTTCATGTTTAAAAGGAGAATCTCTTAAGAGTTTCAGGACTGGTTCTGCAGCTGGCTTGCTGCAAATCAACCTTGGACATGCCTAGCCCCAGTAAGGAAGTCTTCATCTTCCATAGGTGTATGGCCAAGGGGAGAGGAAGCAAGAATAGGAAAGAGGAATGGCTGATCCACTTGATCCTCATTTGTAGGGGTGGCAGGCAGAATACAAGGTCAGAGATGGCATTCTGCAGATGCAGCTGCAAGAGAGAGGAGATTGTTGTCTCCTGAATCAGCACTGAGCTGGAGGCAGCGACAGAATTTCTAATAAATACAGGTCCTTCAAAAGAAAGCAGCAGGGAAAGCTTCTGTTGAAAAGTCAGGAAATTGAGAGGACTTTCAAACAGTTAAGTAGACATGTATCTTCCAGAAATAAAAACATATCGTGCAGCTTTCTAACATGCTTTGGTGTAAAACAGTCAGTGGGTTTTAAATCTTTATTAGGGAAACTGTTGCTTTGCCTTCTGTTTTGTGAATACAGGATAGGAACGATATGAGTCACATACGCCTTTTCCCTCCACAACACACACCTCATCATTATAGCTTGAGTATCACTTCTAATGTACCCCTTTGTTCCAACTGTTTGACCAAATTTATGCCCCGAGGCAGATGTACTTGAAAATACCAAAGCACCACCAAGTGACAAACACATCTAGTGGTACAATACTTCTTGCCACACGAGATGCCAATATAAACATTTTAGAACAAATTACAAATGTATCATACTTAAGACAAAAAGAAAAAATAAATATATATATTTTTTAAAAAGCGGAACAAATCTCAAGCAGCCAAGTGGTGAAGTTGCAGTGATGTACAGTAGGTGATGTAGCCCTACGACCTCTCAGGTAGACACACTGAAAGAAGACTTCTGCAAATGCATCTTGGCAAAATATGGGTACAGAATGCAGTGGTTTGCTGGCACTCGCTACGGTACATAAATGTTAATGGCAGACTGGGAGTGACTGGTTTCGAGTTTGAGGCCACACATGTTCCTTTCTCCAGAAGAAAGTTCCCACACAGAATGAAAACTGTCAAAGATGTTGGACAGGTCAGTATTCTTCCTGCTGTTGGGGCTGTTCATGGACCTGCTCCTCGCCTTCATGCTCGTCTGTGTGGCTCTCCTGCATGTTTAAAAATAAAAGACTTCAACAGAACACACTCCTGATTGGATATATTACCATAGCACTTAACCTAGTCTATGTTTTGGCTCCTAATTTTCATTCAAGTATGAGGACAACAGGTAGCCATAATTTCAAGCCTACCAAGGCAAGACATCTGTGTTGGACACTCCCACATCCCCTTTATTTTCAATATCCAAACTATTTTGCAAGTATGTCTGTTTAATATAATGGGATGAACCTTTGGGACTAAGGGGTTAATATTTGAAGAATTTCATTTCCAGGACAAAAGAGACTCGTTCAGTGGAATAAATGTTGCATACTAGGTAACATGACTCATAACAGTTTTATGGAAAAATAAGTTTCAGAGCACTTTGGGATAGCTTTTATTTTTTTTACTTAAAGACTCTGAAAATGGGATAAGACCATGTTTAATACAGTCTGCTGCAGTGGCCTGTGGTACGTGATTGTGGTAAACAAGTTAAAACTGCACAACTGGTCCTAGAGAACAATTCAGACAAATCCACTTGAACATAGGCTGCAGCGAATAGCTGGGGAAAGCACAGATCCATCATGGAATTACATTATAATTAGGGCTGTCAAACGATTAAAAAATAATTGCACCTCATACAAGTACTGTAGTGCAATCTCTTATCGTGAAAATGCAACTTACAAATGTAGAAATTCTTCTTCTTTTTTATATAACTGCACTCAAAAACAAAACAATGTAAAACTTTAGCGCCAACAAGACAAAGCATGAAGGGGCACATGAATGGTTAGCATATCTGGCACGTAAATACACCTCTACCTCGATATAACGCTGTCCTTGGGAGCCAAAAAATCTTACTGTGTTATAGGTGAAACCACGTTATATCGAACTTGCTTTGATCCGCCGGAATGCGCAGCCCCGCCCCCCCAGAGCACTGCTTTACCGCGTTATATCAGAATTTGTGTTATATCGGGTAGCGTTATATCCGGGTAGAGGTGTACCTTGCAATGCCGACTACAACAGTACCATGTGAACACTCGTTCTCACTTTCAGGTGACATTGTAAATAAGAAGCGGGCAGCATTATCACCAATAAATGTAAGCAAACTTGTCTTAGCAATTGGCTGAACAAGAAGTAGGACTGAGTGGACTTGTATGAGGTGAATTGAAAAATACTATTTCTTTTGTTTATCTTTTTTTACACTGCAAATATTTGTAATAAAAATAATATAAAGTGAGCACTGTACACTTTGTATTCTGTGTTGTAACTAAAAATCAATATATTTGAAAATGTAGGAAAACACCCAAAATTGGTATTCTATTATTGTTTAACAGTACTATTAAAATTGCGATTGTGTTTTTTAAAAATCTAGTTAATTTGTTTTGTGTTAATTGCATGCATAACTGTGATGAATTGACAGCCCTAATTATAACGGATTAACCCATTTATTAGTTAATATATGGATTTTATTTTAACCAGTTTGTGCTTGATGGGAGCTGGGATTATTTCCCCCAAAATGCTGTTGATTTGAACAGTATTAAGTGACATATTGTTCCTATGAATGAGCATTAAAGAATAGGTAGTTTATCTGTAAGCTAGAGTTTGATAAGGGATGTGGCCAAGTGGCTAAATGAAGAGTGCCTGATACATATTCCCTGATTTGTCATTCATCTACCCCTAGTCAAGTCTCTTAAAATTCAATGATGGCTCATAAGAGTCTGAGCAGTGTTGCCAACTCATGATTTTACTGCAAGTATCCCAATATTTGCTGTTTTTCATAAAGCTTCAGTTATATCATTACACGAGTACCTAGGCTTAGGCTGAAGAAAAAAAAAGTCTAGCCTTCATGGCTAGAAGCTTGAAAGGCTCAAAAGCTAGAAGGCGCATTTAAAAAGAACCCAACATTTAAATATAATATATGGAGATATTCCTATCTCACAGAACTGGAAGGGACCTCGAAAGGTCGAGTCCAGCCCCCTGCCTTCACTAGCAGGACCAAGTACTGATTTTTGCCCCAGATCCCTAAGTGGTTCCCTCAAGGATTGAGCTCACAACCCTAGGATTAGCAGGCTGATGCTCAAACCACTGAGCTATCCCTCCCCCACATTCTCATGATTTTTTGGGCCTGACTCATCACTTTTGAACATTTAGGGTTGGCAGTAATATTATCCAAACTGAGGAGAGAAAGGAAGCACCATACTCACAGGAGCAGCACTGGCCAGAACAACGTGCTACCTTTTGGAAGAATTTTCCCCAATGCAGCTCTGAGGATGCTTTGGGGGCAGGGCCACAATGCAGTCCTGACAAGCCCCTCTCTGGGGCTGGCTAGCACAGATGGCAGATCTAGTTTTTCTTCCTCCTTTCCCCTACAATACAGTATCGCTGACTCCTGCAGAGGTGCACTAGGGAGCAGATTTTCTTGCCCTTCTCCAGCCCAGCAAAACTAAGTGCTAAGCATTATCACATAAGCATGATCTGCTAAATTACATTATAAAATGCACAAGGTCCAGAATGCTTTACAATTGAGTGAAATACAGTCTTGCATTCAAAAGTTGGATGGAAACTGATATTATTTTCCCTAGTTGTTTTATGCATGATTCTGCTAACCTAAATCAAAGTTTAAAAGGATACCTAAACTTTGCTGGGAGTTTTATTTAATCCACAAAATGTACCTTAAGAATAATTAAATAGCAAAACATATTTATTTCCTTTGAACAAATCTCAGTTCAGCATTCACTGACTTCACTGGCTACTGTTAGTGACATTATGTCTGACCTTTTCCATATTCCCATTGACTCTAGCACCATTAAAAGCTATGCTTTGTCTCAGCAGATTTCATCATTCTGGAGAATGATTTTACTGAAAAGATGCTACATAGTTCATCCCTGACCTACATTAGTGATAGCTAGCTGACTACGACTGAGGGGCGGGGGGACAACTTTGCTTAGCTGCCATTCAAGTTGCACCATCAACAATGCAATACCTTTGCAGGACCTGCTATCTCCAGACAATTTTTATTAGACATGATTGGTGTAAATAACTCTCCAAAACGGATATTGCTAATTTTCAAATTTAGAGGCTGAGGGGAAAAAGGGGGAGAGGAGGGAGGGGAAGAGTCTGATGGAGAGAATTTGAGGCTTCTCAGTTTAATTCAAAGCAGGTTATGCAATAAAGTGTTTCCATTTTAGCAAGTAACTATATGTTTCTAGAGGATAGGGAAGGCAGAATAAGGCTTTTTACATTTGGTGTCAATGCTGAGCTGGTTTCCAAGAGTAGGAAAATCCCAAATTGAACAAACTGAATCATCCTTCATTTAGGAAGCTAAAGGAAAAGCAATTTTCAGGCAGATACCAGGTGTCGATCAGGAGAATTATAGCTTAACACTTTGGGACCCCTTGGGAGAAGTGGCCTTATTACATATGCATCACGCCAAAATGGCTTTTAACATTAATATTAAACAGCCCATTGTCACAGATAGAATTTAAAGGGTTCAGGGCTTATAAAACTTTAGGACTACATTAAGTAAACCCGGGCTGGGAGCTGTACATATGAGTTCCAGCAGTACACAGAGACACAGCAGCCTCAACCTTCCCCATCTATCTACAGTTACACATGAGCCAGCTCATGTAGGAATGGTCCTTTTCAGATGGGAAGTTAAACAAAATAAAAACAGAATGATACACAAAAGTCAAAATATTAGCACAGATGCTCCTAATCTTGGGTGTTAAAGTGACCTCCCTGGGTGTTTATCTGTCTGATAAAATGCCAGGGTAAATTAAAATCAATGATTTTTTTTTAAATCTGCTTTCTTCATTATTTAAATTGGATTTTATTTAAGCTAAATACAGGGTTGTTTTTTAAAAAAAAAATACACTATTTAAAATTAAATTTGAAATTGACAACCTACGTTGAGGCCAAAACTTATTACAATTTTAAAATTTTTTAATTTAAACATTAAAATATCAAGCAGTACATGTTTGCTGCCAAATTTTAAAGACAGTCAAAACCACTGTACTGGTAGATGTCACCTGAGTTTGTTGAAGTGCTAAACAGAGACAGAATATTTTCTTCATTTCAGTTTATTCAACTAGTTCAGTTCAAAGACTAGTTTATTTCAAGTTAAGAAAGCAGATGGGAGTTAAAAAAGCAGGAAAGCTTGTTTTTCCTCTACCAATCTATGAATAAAAGCTAGATATGAGAGGCTAGATCCCCCGAGCACACCCCATTCCCGCTCTTCCCCCTCCCTCCCGGAGCTTGAATGCTGCGAATCAGTTGTTCGCTGCACTCAGGAAGCGCTGGGAGGGAAGGGGGAGGAGTTGGTAAGCCCTGGGCCGCCGAGGCACGAGAGGTGCTGGGGGAGGGGGGCAGAGGGGGGGGAGCTTGGCGCCAGTGGGTGCTCTGCACCCACTAAATTTTCCCTGTGGGTGCTCCAGCCCTGGAGTACCCACCCATGGAGTCCGCGGCTATGACTGGGATAGCAGGTAAGAGCGGGTCGGCTCCCACAAACATAGCACACACTGCAGTCTCCTTACTAGGCAGAAGGCAGGGGCCGTATTCACAGAGCCAACCTAGGGGCACCAGTTGCCCCGGCATAGGGGCACCAGTATAGGGGAACCAGTATTCACAGAGCTGAATGCGCCGGCATAGGGGCACCAGTTTAATAATACTGCGTAGGGCCCCATATATCCTTCGGACGGCCCTGCTTAGGGGGTAGCTGATCTGAGAGGTGAGCTCCAGTCTCTAGTCCTGTCAATTCAGAACTTTTCACAAGAATTAAGTTTATTTAAAAGAAAGAGCTATTAAAAATAGGGATTTGTCTGTCCTGAATAAAAACAGTTGGGATGTCTGAATAGAGCATGCTCTCTAGAAAGAATACAATATATGCCTGTAAAATTACAGCTTAAATGAACCAGGGCATGTGAGCGCTACCAAAAGGTTACTGGAAATATGAACTGAAAACAAATTTAAGTCAACAATGATATTTCAAGCATGAGGCCTTTGCCAGGAATGATTTGTTCTAACTATAACTTTTTGCTGAGGAAAGCCTCATGACCCTTGATATCTAAAATGCACCCTGAACACTAAGTTAACCTTTTCACTGATAGCCCCTACGCTCCAGCTCTTTCATTAGCAGTTTGGGACTTTCTGGACCAGAGGTTAAACCAAAGCTGGATTTAGCAAGAACTCATTAGCAAGAAACCAAAAATGTTGGAGCTGCTTGTAGCTTTGGGAGTTGGGGCTCTCTTTCATTGGGGCTCAGGAAATCCTAACTGCTGTTACCAAGGGATTAGTCTATAAAATGCTCAGCGATAGAGAGAAAATTTAACTTGGAGATGAGGAACAGATTCACTGCACAGGCAGAAAATAGAACTCAAAGGCAAGGCAAGCCAAGGAAAAGAGAAGAAATTGCAAAAGAAAGAGTAGGCAAGCTATGCAAGTACCCTCTCCACTGTTAGCATCAGAGCACCTAGATCTTTGGCTCTAAGTGCTAGTGCGCTGATGTCTCGCCTCAGTAAACCAAACTGAGCACCAAAGAGCTAAGGAGGAAAGACACCCAATAAAGCAAGGGGCTCAATTTCCCCATTGCAGAATATGAATAATTCCGTGGAAGTTATCTGTATCCAGATGTGGGAGAACAGGGCTGTAATAGTAAGATGAAACCCGTAGACTCTTCTTGGTCACAGACTTCAGGTGAGGATGCACTGTATATGCTAAATGTTTTTGTGCAGCTATTAGTTTATGACATTCCTAGTGGGGAGGATGGAAGGAACCAGACAAAAGGCTCAGAACTATGGTCTGAGGTAAGCTGAATTTTGTGATGTGTTTTGCCAATAATGAAAGCTAAAGAAAAGGGAATCAACAAACATTCTTTAGCTGGGAAGTCGCTTAACAATTCGAGCCAACAAACAAACAGATGTGATAGGGATATGGGGAGAAGGGCTTCCCTTTACAAATAAATCACTGTTCTTGCATCCAGACATTTCCTTTGACCACTATATATGTGCAGTTTTTATGACTTTGCTCATATGTCTGGTCAAGTTTTTTTAAAATGTTTGCTCCTATCAGTATTGAAATACTGGTTTGTTCCCTAAGGAAACCTCCACGAATCCCTCCCACTTCCAGTCAGTTTTAGCTGTGTGTGGCCATCAAGATCATAATTACAATTTTCAAGTTCTTGATAGTGTTTTTAAAACTACACAAGGTAAATTACTCTAGCCTTGCTTTTAATGACCCAATAATTTTATCTCAAGACAACTAAACCAACTACTACTGAAATTATCATCTGAGAATAGGTGCTAAATAAGGAAGTGTCAACAAAACCATAGTACCAGAGAGAGTACATTGATGCCAATACATTCTGGAACCAAAGCTACGGTCCACTGGAGACGGAGGGGTGGGGTGTGTGCATGTGCGTGGTGTCAATCTTCAGAGTAGTGCACACAGGGATTTAGCTAACATGAATGGGAATAATTCCAACTAAATTCTCATGGAGTAATTACCCCTGAACATATCTAAGGAATTTAGTCAGTATTCTTTATCAGCCCTCTTCTTCCTGCTCTATTAAATGTTTACAGTGCTATGTCTATAATACTAGTGAGATTCTTGCTTAATCTTCCAGATAAAATAATTCTTAAATATTGGTAGACTGAAAAGGACAAAAGATTATTGGGTTTTGTGCACTGAAGATTCTGCCTATAGCAACAGGACAAAAATGTTAAATAAAAAAGCAAATATGTTCCTTGTACCAGAATTAATATCAGTGTATACAGTGTGCATGTGTGCAAACCTGTGAACATGTCTATATGGTCTTCAATTTAATATTTTGAGCTATTTAGGAACCTCTATATTTCATCATATTTATGTAATCTGATTTTCAAGAACATGTCAAGGTACAGGATTACAAAGAAATTTCTGTATAATTGCAGCAGCAGAAACAAAGCAGAGGCAGGAACAAGAACATATGAAAATACTTCAAAATGCTTATGACGTCCCATTCTGTTTCAGATTAACGTCTCAACAAAATTAGAGCGCACAAAATTTACACAACTGCGCTAAAAAACTATCAGCCCCTTCAGTGCATTCACCAATAGCAAAAAAATATTGGTTTCTAGATGCAAAGTGTTTTAAATTGACATTTGTTAAAAAGACTAAGTTGCAACAGTCTGTGCTGATCTACCTAGAGAACTTGACCCAATATAGTGCCAGTGATTCTTCAAATGAAATTAAGCCTGTTTGTTTGCATTAAGGAAATGTACGAGAATAAAGAATATCTTGCACTTACATGTTCTTCTGAAGCATAAAGGACTTCCATTAGCCTTTGGACAAGGTCATTATTTTCTTGCCCATGTTCTTGGCAGAGAAGTTCAATCTCCCTTAATTTTCCAAAGTAGAAATCCCTTTCCTTCTCCACGCCTTCGAGTGCAAGTTTTAATGAATGTACCTGTAAATAAAACATACATGTTCCAATAACAGGAGCACAGCATATGCCATCTGTGAGACAGACTATGAGTGAGTTTTGCCTACAGTACAGGACAGTACATAACAGGCATAATCTTAATATATATACTTTTTTACAAATCTTTAAACTTAAGGTGTATTTAGTAGTTGTTAAAGGTGCCAGACTGTCTGAATAAGGATATCCTTGTTCACAAAGCAGTATAGGCAAAGCAGTGTAAACTTCCCCATAATACCCATCAATGCACCTCAACCCTGACCCTAGAGGGACCATTTTTACACAATGTTTCAGTGCTCTGGTAATACATACCAATAGCAAGCTACAATGACAGAGTGGCTCTGGATCTAGGACTAAAATCTGGCCCTGTTGAGACTGCTATAAGTGCCAAGCTGTGCCATTTGCGATGGCAATTAACGCAATATTCATAATGGCCGCATTTCTACTTTGGCTAAATTAATGTACATTTGCTGTAAGTATTGTTTATCCTAAAATTTATCTACTCCTTAAAAATATTTAGCTTTGTTTCCTGATAATTTTTTTTAGTTTTCTGTCAATCCTGCCTTGGCAGAATAATAATTAGATGACTTAATACATTTTAAAAAAATCTTTGAGTGCAAGTACTGTGCGTGGCTGCTTATACCTTTCTTCACTTGTTTAACTGGTCTGGTGCTGGGTTTCAGAATTCTCTTATGCTGGCATAAAATGTAGTGGTAGTTCTGAAATACTAGCTTTCAGGTGGTTGATCCAGGTACTCCTTGATGGGGTTTTCACAACAAATTTTTTGGTGGCCTCAGAGAGCGGCCATCAACTCTTGCTGGTGGCCACTCTGACAATTTTTCCTAAAATACTTATTTAACTTTAGGAAAAACAAATAAATATGCACATATACATGTCCAAATCATTGTAATTTATTTAGGTAGAGTTTTTTTTGTTGCAAACTCAATAATAAATACAATTGTCTCTATTCTTTACTGGACCTACACAGAATAGAAACTCAAGGTGCTTTTCATGTTCTTCTCTTTTGTTGTTGTGGTGTTCCTTGTACCAGAATTAATCACAGTGTATACAGTGTGCAAACCTGTGAGCATGTCTATATGGTCTTCAATTTAATATTCTGAGATATTTAGGAACCTCTATATTTCTTTTGCTTTTTTGGTTGCTTTTTTTATTAGACTTGCTAGCTAGTAAGTCTGATGCTGTGAAAAGTGATATCTGTATGTTTTATATATAGAAGCAGACTTGCTAGCTAGCTGGGAGGCAGTGAAAAGTGGTATTAACAGACATACAAATATTACTTTCCACAGCAGGATTTACTCATCCCTGGCAAGCTCGGGGACAAATTAAGTCCTGGATGGAGAGATGGGCAGGGAGGCAGTGAGGGCCAGGGGTGATGGAGGGGTGGTGAGCCCAAGGCCAGCACCCACCACCATGCAGCTGGGGCCAGAGTCGCAGCTGGTACCTGAAGCCCCACAGCTGGAGCCTGCTGTCTGCCACCCCAGAGCTGAAGCAGGAAGCCCAAGCCCCAGTGTTCCCAGTAAGGTGGCCAACTCAGACTGGCTGGCTGATCCTCTGGCATTTGTGGCCCCAGAGGGGGGCAGGGCTGAACCCCTGCTGGCAGCCTTGGGGGATGAGCCACTGTGCTGCCCCCCCACCCCCCCAATCACCACCCAGGAGGCTGTGCTGTGGCCACAAGAAAAGCCCATGATGGCCGCATGAGACAAAAGCCGAAACTGCTCGAGTTTCAAAGTAACTCTCTTAATTGACACCTGTACATGAGAATCTAGTTCCAAGATACACTTTGCCAGCTTTCTTTCACCACTATACCTGTTGCACTCATTTGCTAAGCACTCATTTATGGTTTATCCTGACTGTATTAAAATAACAGGTTTCACATAAACTAGAACAGAGCCCTCAATTCCTGTTTAATTTTAAAGTGGCAACCTGAAATTGTCATGAAAACTTAGAAAGCTTGTTATTCATTAAATGAAGCTATAGTGGAAAAAACAAAGTGTATGGACAGCCTCAGTAGTTGAGATCTTCTAATTTTGCCTATACATCTAAGGTAACAGGGCAATGGTTCGCAATCTTTTTTTGATCTGCAACTCATAAAAAGGTGGAAAAATTGTCCCATGACCCACCATAGCCCCAATATTTTGCAGCCACAAAGGACTGTGGTATTCCAGGTATGGGATGATTTTCTGGCCATTTTGTTGGTTGTGAACCAAACAAATGATTGGGATGGCTGTTGCTGGTGAAGGACTTCTTGGGTGTGGATAGGCTGTTACTATGGTGTGTGGGAGCTTCTCCCTGCCTCTTCCAGACACACAGCACTCAGACTGGGGCATCATAAAGCTCGCTCCACAGCCCTAGAAGCATTACTTCTCTGCCTTGGAGCTGAGCACTATGCAGGCAGGGTGCAGAAGGTCCTATAAACTTAATAGTGAAGTGCCAGCCAAGCAGTCACTATATAAAAAAAGTCTTGTTAGCAGAAACAAGTGACCTCTTTAAAAAATCTAAGATTTAATGCAAACTTGTCAACTCCTCAATAACTATTGCTTGCGCCACTTAAATCATCCATATTGACCCTTTCAGTGTCAGTCATTTGTATACAGTCCTCAGGATTTTTACTGTTAGACACTTGTTAAAAATGTGTCAGTGGTAGATATGACAGTGACTTAAGCCATAATAAATATGAAAATATAAGACTAAATGCAGACCAAAGATTTCAAATGTGTTGCGCACTCGCCAGCTCTCACTGAAGAAAATAGGAACTGCTGGGAACTGGGCACTTTTGAAAGTCAGGCCACTTATTTAGGCTCCTAACCACAGACTTCAGTGCCCAACTTCAGGCACCTATAATCATGGATATGGTGCATAATGTTTGAGCCCTGTTCTATATTTTTCATTTTTCCTACATACGGCAATCTAGTAGAGATGATTTAGTTTATAGTTTGGTTCATTATAGACTTTTAAAAAAATATTTATAGAGGATCCAATCAGGATCCAGGCCCTGTTGTGTTTAGCCCTGTTCAAACAGGTACACAGTCTCTACTCTGAAGCACGAGGGCTGACAGCCTTTGTAATTCTGTCCTAGTTAGTATAATTACGATTCGGGCCTGATTCTCATACCCACTAAAGGCCCTGTACACCAGTCTAGTAGTGTGACGGGGCCTCAAAGCAGATGTAAATGGAATTTATGCCTAATTTAAGGCCTGTTTAAGGCCAAACAGGTGTAAAGAATCTTTAGTGGAAATGAAAATCAAGCTCTCTATTCTTAATATAAAAGAATAATTTTTAAAAATCTTAGTTTAATCTTCAATAACATCCTGTAACAAAGTTCTATAGGTCACTGGTTCTCAACCCGGAGTACACATACCCCTAGGGGTACGCAGAGGTCTTCCATGGGTACATCAACTCATCTAGGTATTTGCCTAGTTTTACAACAGACTACATAAAAAGCACTAGCAAAGTCAGATCAAATTAAAATTTCATACAGAAAACTATTTGTTTACACTGCCTATATAGTATACACTGAAATGTAAGTACAATATTTATATTCCCATTGATTTATTTTATAATTATATGGTAAAAATGAGAAAGTAAGCCATTTTTCAGTAATTCTTCTGTGACACTCTTGTATTTTTATGTCTGATTTTGTAAGCAAGTAGTTTTTAAGTGAGGTGAAACTTGGGGGTACACAAGACAAATCAGACTCCTGAAAGGGGCACAGTAGTCTGGAAAGGTTGAGAGCCACTGCTATAGGTCAGTCAATCACTATGTAAAGGTATATCCCTTTCTCAGTTGAAAAAGGTATTTTGCCTTTTTGTTGTCTTCCTTCCAGATAGCAAAGTATATTGACCACCACCAAACTCCCAATTCAACTACAGATCCCTGGCACCCTACTATTAAACCTCTTTCCCTCGTGAAAATAAGTTATTTTTTATTATTGCTCCTATCACAAGTTTTAATCCATAAGGACAGACTTAACTTACAACATGTTACTGGATTCTTCATAACAGGGCAAATAATTATCAAGATACCTTTTAAACTCTAAATATATAAAATCCATCAATTCTTCTTTCTTCCTAAATTCTCATGCAACATGTTAGAGGGACTAGAATTTTTCTTATAAACCATGCAGCTATGTATTCAAGTAAAACTGTAATATGCATATTCAAGCACAACTAGCTTTAAGGCAGCTCTCACACTGCAGTATGATTCACCCAAAATCATCCTTAGCATCTTTTTAAAATATGGGTACAACATTGGCCATCCTGCAGCCATCTGTTAGAGTACCATTTTTTTAATGACATCACTTTTTCATTCGTAGCTGAGCTATTCCATTTGTTAGATCCTTCACCACTGTGAAGTGAATATAATCCAGACTGAAATAGGAGGTTCATTTTTCAGTTGTTCAATGTTTTGCTCTGTCTCAGTACTTTTACTATAAGTATAGAGTAATCTTTGGTTTCATGACTTTTCATATCTTTCCTAGTGCTTGTGATAACTAGGGCCCTACCAAATTCATGGCCACGAAAAACGCGTCACTGATCGTGAAATCGGGTTTCTCCCTGTGAAATCTGGTCTTTTGTGTACTTTTACCCTATACTATACAGATTTCACAGGGGAGACCAGCATTTCTCCAATTGGGGATCCTGACCCAAAAGGGAGTTGCAGGGAGGTCACAAGGTTATTTTAGGGGGATCGTGGTATTCCCATGCTTGCTGTTGCGCTGCCTTCGGAGCTGGGCGGCTGGAGAGCAGTGGCTGTTGGCCGGGCTCCCAGCTCTAAAGGTAGCGCCCCACCAGCAGCAGCGCAGCAGTAAGGGTGACAATACCATACCATGCCACCCTTACTTCTGCGCTGCTGCCGGCGGCGGCTCTGGCTTCAGAGCGGGGCTCTTGGACAGCAGCTGCTGCTCACCAGCTGCCCAGCTCTGAAGGCAGAGTCACCACCAGCAGCAGCACAGAAGTAAGGGTAGCAGTACTGCAATCCCCCTACAATAACCTTGCAGACCCCTGCCCCTGACAACTCCTTTTCGATTCAGGACCCCTATAATTACAGCATCTTGACATTTCTAATTTAAATAACTGAACTAATGAAATTTATGATTTTTAAAATCCTATGCCCATGAAATTGACCAAAATGGACCAAGAATTTGGTAGGGTTCTACTGATAACTAATTCTGTGGTTGAAGCAAAGTTACCTGTTCACTGAGTTGTATGACTTGTGTTTCCAAATCTTTATCTGATTTGGATGCTGAGCTGCTCGGTGTGGCTTTTTTTGCTGACGATGGACGAGAAGGTGTGGACCCTGGTTTAGAAACTGGACTGGATTTAGCAGCACCTGAAAGCACAAGAATAAAATTGTTTTGAGAACACTTTTAAAAATCAGATTTAAGTATTTATGTCTAGTGTAAGTATTATACTCCCAATAATTTTGAATTTTTACCCCTTTCAGATACAGAAAAAAGCTATTTAATTTGTATATGACCATTAGTGCTGTTACTTCCCGGTTGTAAGTAGAAAGATGCTCACTTTAGTGCAAAATATTGAAAAGGAAAGTAAATACCATAATGAGAATGTTACTTTCAGTTTAAAAGGACAAAATAGCTCATGGATACTCAAAGAAAGGTGAATAAATAACATAATTTCTTTAATTACTACTACTTTACCATTTTAAAGATGACACTGGCAACAACTAAGTCATTTAGCTTAATAGTTAATATTTCTTGATTTTAAAAATTTACTGGAGAAGGCAAGTTAATTTAATTTGTGGTGATTTTATTTGTAAGTCTATCTGCTTCTATGCTTTAAAATGGAGAAGAAACTAATACCATTACTTGTACAATCACACTGAAATCCAGCAGATGCAAACAGAATTAAATCCATCAGTGAGCACTTGGTTGCTGCAGTGGCCAAAAGATCATGTTTCTGATCAGCTTAGGAGGTTTTTGGTACATCATGTGAAAAGCAAAGCTGATAATGTCCCCAAATGTACAGCAACACTTTTGCCCACAGAAAACAGCACCCATACCAAGCACAGACAGGTACTCTACTTTCACAAGCATCAAGCACACACCAACGCTTAAGTACAGACACAAGAAAATGTTGTGCTAGTGCTATCTTTATACGCACCTAGGGCTGACAACTGATATCGTGCCATTCCCTTCTCCCCTCTCTTCTTTAGGGTTTGAGTGATTACTAAAGTCCCAACTGGGCTCTGAGTTTACCATCTGTGGAAGGAGATGCCCAAGCTTCATGTACTGTAATGAGCAGCACCAACTCCCAAAGCACAGGACGTTCCACTCCAATTATTTTTCAGAAGAGATCACCCACTTAATGGTCTCTACCTATCCTCCCATCCTAAACTGTCACTTATACCACATACTCCTAATTCCTGCCCCCCTCTCTTTACATGCACAATAAATTGTGATGTGATTACATCAATGTGGCCTAAGGTTACCAGTTTTTAAAACAAAAATGACTGAGCAGAATTAAAAAGCGTAGAAATGAACTCCCTAGACCTCTCTGCCAACCTGAATTATATTTAAGGCTTGAGGAGGAAAAGTTAGGCTTGTTAGGTTGCCTATTTTCCTTCAAGGAACGGAATAAAGAGTAAAAACCTAAGAAACTCAAATAATTCACAAATAAGCTTTGATGTAGCAAGACTCCCCCCTCCCATCACACACACTGCCCCCCCTCCCTCCCAAGATGTCCTCAGGCTTCTCGGTCAAGAAGCTCAAAAGCTGATTGGGAGGAATTGCAATGATTGGTGATTCAGTCCAGCTTGTTAGGTTCTTGTGATTTAGTCATAGACAGCACTGGCTATTGTACCAAGAGTTATCTTTTCTCATCACTTTATATTCTCTAGTGACAGCCCTGAGAATATAAACAATTATACAGTTCATCTGCTTTTAGTGGACACCATTTTGGCTAAAATTCCACCATACTTTTTCATATTTGTTACAAATAAAATTATTGATATATGCCAACAGAAAGTTGAAACTCCAACCTGGCCAAAATATAGCATCTTCCATCCTGAAGTCCTTACAAGTTACATACATGGACCACATCACCCCTGGATAACAGAGTTCAGGTACAGTATACAGAGTTGGTAAAGATGAAATTTACACTGTTCGCATGCCTAAAATTACTTATATTTTTGAAAGAGCACTTAGTATCTTGAGCAATAAAATTTGGTTCACGAGGCTAACATGAATCAATACACACTAACGGTGCCCTACTGCTCATACACAAACAAAGCAGGAAGTCTTTTTGGTAAAGTACTCTGACCATAGAGTAAGATCTTTAGTTGCCATTTTTTCCTTTTTCAGAGACCAGCAGATCTTTGTGTATAATCTTCACTAACATTTTCCCCAAGGGCCAGATCAATACTTTAAATACAAGTGAAATCACAACTCATTAAAACAAATCTTTTGTTAGGATCCCAGGATCCTACTCTGACATTTAAGTGATCCCTGCATCCCATATGACAATAAGCTTCATTTTTCATACAATACCATTTATATACGCACACATCACCACCATATATTTTACATAGGTAGAATAGGAATGCTTTCATCTGAGTTTCTAAATATTACTCTTCATAAGAACCAGATAAATAATCCCCTCAGATACATGGTAAGTTTTGTAAAGTGGGAACAAGGGTGCATATTTTAAAAGCTAGGGCAAGGGCAGCCTGTTTCTTTTCCTTCCTGGCTTGTTTCCAGTTAAGAGTTCAGCAAAAACTTCTTGAAGATCAAGGTGTTAAAACATAAGGAATGGCCATTTAAAGGAAACAAGCCGTGCAATTCTATCACTTGGGAGACATTCCAAACTAGAGGGTAGAATACCACTGTAAGCAGACTTTAACTAGGTGCAATCTCATTCTTCCTGTCACACAGTTCTGAGTGGGGTTGCAGGCAACATAGCCAGATGGGACCAGCCACAGTGCATACAACTGGCTCAGATTGACCAGACTACTGCAAAGCTGCTAGTAAAGGCAGCCTTCATGGAACCTGGAGCTCTACCTCTGTGTCGGTCTTCAAATGCGCGTACCGAGCATATTTCTTACGGAAAGGATTAGGCAAGGGGAAAAAAATCCTCTTCATTTTCCCTGGAAAGATATTAGACCCTTTGCAGGGAAGTTGACCTCCTTATTAACAAACACTGCTTCATCAAACTTGATACAGTGACTCATAAAACTTAAACATAAAGAGAAAAAGTAACAGAAAAGAAAGATGAAGTTTCTAAGTTGCGAAAACAAGTCCAATGTGTATCCTTGCAGACTAGTCAATCGGAGGACAGAAATGCAGCATGTGAAGATACATCATTGGGGAGAAGGACAGGCAAGGTGAGTGTGATTTAGAGTCACAGGTTAAAGTGAACAAAGGTTTTGAAAAGATTTGAATAGCTTGGAAAGAAGGAGTTCCAGAAACTAGTCACTTTTTCACTTCTATATTACGGTACAATGTACAGAATAATTAATATGCAGCGCTAGTATAGAAATTAGGTAGATACATGGTCTGATGTATAGGAAGCAGTAAGTTCATGTCTGTTTAACCCAAGAGGGCATTTCTGAATTGCATTTACAGATGAACAGGAGACAGCAGAAGTGACAGGACAGTGCAATATGGACACACTTTGTCCAGTAATGTCTCGGGTTACAACATTCTAGACCAGAACACAATGAACGGAAGAAGCCACCCGTTGAAAAAACAACACGCACGCATGTATGCACGCACACACGCGTGCACACACAATTAGATAGTTGTTACCAGAAAATAATTGAATATGGCTTTTTATGCATATCAAGACCAAGGATCAAGGCTTATCATCTCCAACTGCAACCTACAATGGCAAAAACTAATACCATTAGAATACCAACTTAAAAAATGGTGGTGTAACTTTAGGAATTAGTACTAAGGTCTGGCTAGGGACATATCAAATTCATGGTCCATTTTGGTCAATTTCACAGTCATAGGATTTTAAAAATTGTAAATGTCATGATTTCAGCTATTTAAATCTGAAATGTCACGGTGTTGTAATTGTAGGGGTCCTGGCTTAAAAAAAAAAAAAAAAAAAAAAAAAAGGGGGAGTGTGTGTGTGTGGGGATTTCCGCAAGGTTATTATAGGGGTGGTTGCGGCACTGCTACTCTTACTTCTGCGCTGCTGCTTCTGGCGGCTGGAGAGTGGCGGCTGCTGGCCAGAAGTCCAGCTCTGAAGGCAGAGCCGCCGCCAGCAGCAGCACAGAAGTAAGTGCATGGTATGGTATTGCCACCCTTACCTCTGTGCTGCTGCCTGCAGAGCTGGGCCCTCAGTCAGCAGTTGCCACTCTCCAGCCATCCAGCTCTGAAGACAGTACAGAAGTAAGCGTGGGAATACCACGACCCCCTAAAATAACCTTGTGATTGCTCTGCAACTCCCTTTTGGGTCAGGACTCCCGATTTGGGAAACACTGGTCTCCCCTGTGAAATCTGTATAGTAGGGTAAAGGCCCGCAAAAGACCAGATTTAACCGGAGGCGGGGGACCAGATTTCACAGTCCATGATGCATTTTTCATGGCCGTGAATTTGGTAGGTCCCTAGGCATGGGATGTGAAACATGTAAATCACTGGACAGAGAATATGTTGATATGACCAGCAATTAACATTTGATGTTATATAGCCTGAGTCCACCTCATAAAACTTCTAATCATAAGATCGCATGTACTGAATATGTGCAGAGAGCACGGACTGAATAGGCACAGTCATCTACCTACTCTCTCACCTCTAGATGTTCTCTTTCAAATGCTATTTGAGGCACCATAGTGGGGTGTTCTGGGAAAGCTCAGACTGTCTCCTGCCTGTGGTTAAAGATAATTTGATAACACTGCTCATATAGCATCTTTCACAAGCACAAGAGTTATTAAAGGACTATGTTTTAAAATATTAAGTCTATGGCTTTTTTAATTCCTTATCCTGAGTGACACTAAGCACTTCAAACCCCACTAAAGTCAGCTGGAGTTAGGTATGCTCCTTACTGCTCAGGATCAGGCCCTAAATGAACAGGATGTTCGGATATCCATAATCAGTAATGTAGTTTAAAAAAAGCTAAATAATTTGAGTGCTCCAGATGGCACGAGCTAGAGACAGCTGAAAATGAAATTTGAATAGAATTTGCTGGACATCCTCTGCTAACCGAAAATCTTTTGCATTAAAGTAAGTTTTACCTCCATGTTTACTCTTTTTGTTTGGCCTCAGGGAAAGCCCTTGAGGGGGGGGGGGAATGAATTTCCAACAGAACCTTAATTTTATAAAAAAGTGTAACTGCTCCAATCCAGAACTACAATTAAATGCAATATTT